ATGAAATAAACGGCATTTTTCTCCTGATTGTCTCTAGGGTCGGTACTACAACCAGAAATATTCATTGTTATTTAAAAAATTTAAAAACAATTAAAATTGAAAAAGGTAAAAAAATAAAAAAGTCCACCATTTTGTTTCATTGTAGTTGCGACCAAAGCCAATGTAATACAAAATAAAAAACCGTTTTGACTTTTGCTTTCAGATGATTTGTTTTACAGTTATCGTGTCACTCACTAACAAAAGTGTTTCAGCACCAATTTTACGAGCCTCCATTTAAAAAAAAATCAATTCATATTTTTATATGGCTACTCATGTTACAAAAAAAGAAAGATAGTTTCACTCAATATAAATTTGAAAGAAATAGATTTTTATACATTATTTCTTAATTTCTTTTTAACTTCAAAATATTGCCACTTTAAAAATATTTCATATTTTTTTTTGTCTTTTTCAATGCTAAGCCACGTCATAATAACTCTATTTCCAAAAGGATTCAGAAAATACTATGTAAAGCCTTGGATTTTTTGGGAGTATGTTTAATTTATTTTTAATTCCTTGTTTAAATAGAAAGGTTTTGCTTTTTGAATAATTTTTTTTAATTTTAAAAAGATGAAAATTTATTTTTTTTAAATGAAATTGGAAGCACAAAAGTAAAGAAAAGGACAAAAAATCTTTTTATGTCAAATGTTTAATGTTTTCGAAAAATTTTTAAAATTTGTTGAATGAACTATTTTGCTTTTTGTAACATGCGTCTACTTATCTAAAAAAAAATTTAAATTTTTAAATTTCTTTTTTTTAAATAAATTCAATTTGTTTAATAAAAAACAGGTTTTTAGGATTAACCTGGCCTTAATGAAAACTCATATTACGTGGTAGCTGCAAAAACGTGGAAAAATGTGTCATGGACCGATGAAACTAAAATAAATAGAATGGAGCCAGATGGGAAAACCACATTTCATCGCCAAAGAGGTCAAGATTTGAATCTTAGGTACACCAAAAAGACCATAAAACATACAGACGGTAATATCATGATTTGGGGGGCATTTCCTGGCATGGCGTAGGACCAATTGTGCGAATAAATGGAAAAATGAAAAAATATCAATATCTGGATATCTTAAAGAATGAAATGGAACCATTCGTATTTGACTCCATGCCATCCAATTGGGCTTCTATGCAGGATGATGATCCTAAGCATACCGCGAAGGTCACACAAGATTGGCTTAAGAAGGAAAATATTCGTTTTTTGGATTGGCCCGTGCAAAGCCCAGACCTAAACCCGATAGAAAATTTATGGAACGATGTCAAAATAAAAATATCTGCAAAAAAATTCGATGATTTGTGGGTGGACGTCAAGGGTAATAATATACAAAGGGTCCTCCATACCAAAAGAAAAATATGAGAAACTTGTTGAAAGCATAGGACGCATATCTGAAGCTGTTTTTAAAAATCGTGGACATACTACAAAATACTAATAGATAAAACCTATTTAAGACTAATAATGGTAAATGATATGGTATATTTGAATTTGAAATTACAAGTTTTGCAAAATGCGCTATTTGCGTGACCTGAGAATTTCATTAGGAACGTCAAACTTTGAATTATTTTAAACTTTCATTGAATTGTTATTAAGTTTTTGTATAAAGGTTGTGTTAAATAATAATTGAGTTAACACATCGTTACAATATTTTCATATTTTAAGAACAAATATCCCTTTGTTTCATTATTATGTATCGGAAGGAAAGTTGTGCTATTTGCATGACCATGGCTGTACATATATTTAATAATCTCCTGGTGTAAATTTTAATTACATAATTTATTAATTTTAACTAAAAAAAATTACAGAGGCTGATCCTTTCCATAACTTTGAATGATTATTTGTATTTTACTAATATTATTTATTATGATCAGTATTTAATATTTAATGAAATATTATTAAGTATTTAAAATTTCGAAAAACCTGCTGCCAATTTTTGACTACAACATTTCTTATAAGTTATAGTGTACATATATACACACATATGTATGTATATATGGTTAAATTAGTGGGTCACAATTCGGTTAAAATGTGCATGAAAACTCAGCTTAACGAAGAGGCCCTCATTAAAAGTATTAAATTACCAAAAATGTACATGAACATCTGATCACAAAAAAAAAATGTAATGAAAATAACAAATTATTTATGCCAAAGCATAAAAGTTAAATACCCTTAAAGCGAGCCCAAACTGCAAGTCAGCGCCGGCCAAAACCAACATCAACCGAGAATTTACGCAACTATTAAAAGCCAACTGCCAACGCCACCACCAAAGCCAACGCCAACGCCAACGCCAGTTGAGTTAAGTTCATTAATAAATTCCATATACAACAATAAAAACTACTACGAAAACAGAAGAAAGTATGAGGGTCAGCAAAAATTAAAAAACGAACAAAAAAAGAACATTTCGTAATCAAAGATCAAATTACGTCAAGCGATTAACGAATGTGTTGAATTAAAAAAATGTGTTGCACTTGAATTGACTATCTCTCTCCCCGCTGCTGTCGTTGGAAAAGTGAATTGAAATGAAATGTTTGCATATACACTTTAATGCACTCGACTGCTGGCATTGGTCAGCATTTGCATGTGCATGTGCATGTGTGCTGATCCTTTTGGTAATCCTGACATTCACTCCGCCACTCGTTTAAGCGCAATAACAACAATGCGATTTCGATAAGAAAAGTTAATAATAACAAAAACCAACAAGAACATAATAAAAAAATAAGCCTAAAAAGCGCATTACCCCGCGCTTGCACGACCAGCATACAATCGAGGCGGTTCGGATCAGCTCGAAGAGATCCAACAAACATTCACAACTGTCATTTTGACAACTGAGGCTTTAATAATGATCATTTTCATTTCATTAAACGCATACATACACTATGTGTACCCTCGCGACTCACAAGCGCGCCGCCTCCCTTCAACACTGCTGACTAGAGGCGCTGCGGCGCGTGGGTAGATAACGATCAGTGGCAAGCCGTCTGATGTAGTGGCCGCAGTGTGCGCACTGAGCACGAGCCAACAAGATTGTCGATCAAAAAATAGTTTGATATTCGTTTTATTTCTTTATTCTTCCTTTTCCTCCTTTTGGCCACCGGCCAGTGAGTTGTTGAAAAAGCGTAATGCCAATTAGATCGGTCTGCAGGGTTTGCGTAGTTTATGAGCGACTAAGGTGTAAACAACGGACATTCCCCTACAATTTTGTAGCTGCGTTGGCAAGGCGCATGCGTGACTCGTTTGGCGCTTCGCTTGACGTGTGGCTGCGCAATGAAGTTTTTATCATTTTAGCATCTGGAAATTGTTTTTTCTTTTCCTTTTTTTGTAATCAATGATGTGTTTGTTGGTTTACTTATAATTCTTTTTTTTTTTTTAGAATCGCAAAAGGCAAGCACATGAATTGCGGTTCTTTGGTAATTTAATGTTGAAATTCATGTGATTAATTTAAGCGCAAATAAGTCGTTGAGTTAACGTTTAGTTAATTTATCAGCCATGCAATTTTCCATAAATGGATTACATAATTAAAATCGCTTGCAGCGGGGAGATTATGATGGTTGTTATGACAAGCAGCACAAATATTTTGATGTAGTAAAGAATGTTCGCACTATTTTTGGCGAAGAGAGTGTACGTTGTGGGTAATTAAAAGTTTTACATTTAAAAGCTGAAAAACACATTTTAATTTAGTTGATGTTTGTTCTGGGTACAAAATTTGTATTCCTCTCATACCTGTTGTCCGTTACCACTACTGCCGCCCTAAGGGGAACTCACATTGACTTTTCGGTGGCGTTCGAGAACCGGCCAACGTCTGCCTGACCGTATGGTGCTCTCAAACACAACGAGTCAATTTAACTCATGGTCAGCGCCTAACCGATCTGGAACCTCTACCAGTAGTGCTTGCATATAGCTCGAGGCTGTGGGCCTAGGCTTTGCTAATATTGAGGGCACCAGCGGCTTAGTAAAAATTATAGGTCCCTCCATTTGTTGAAAAAACATCAAGACGCAAAACCACAAATTGGTGAAGGAGCTCGGCCGAAAATCGCTCCAGCGTTTACAAAGCGCCAGCTATATACATATATTTATATGTACTTATTTTCTCAGATGTATGCGGGTTCTAAGAAACTTACGCGCTTACAACTAGGTATCATCTAAAGTTTAGAAAGCACCACTCATATCTTGCCATCCGTCAGTCCAAAGATTTCCCAAGATTCCTAACATCAGTGTTAGAGAGCAAAATTATGTCCCTAATGTTCTTGATCGCATCGCCACTCACAGCTCATATGCTCCGAGAGAATTACAGATTTGGTTTTCTAACACCAAAGAAACATAACGAACGTACTCATAATACATTCGACTTCTTTTCTAATAATCGTACACACTTCCTTTAGGAACCTGTGGCAAATTGTCACAGATATGTGACGTGACGAACACATAAGTTCAGCTCTCCATACTTAATCCATTACGTAGAACTTACAGTTCTAAACCTTAACTCACTTAATGAAAACTATACTAAAATTCGTATTAGGTACCCGCCTTTTTGACCTATAGATTAAGCCCTCCTGGATTTAATACACAAACTATTAAGGCGTACAAGAACCTCTGAAATTCCAGGGACTGTTAGCCTCGCAAACGTGTTAAAACCATTCTCGCACGACGAAATCGATCGGCTTCATGCGAAGTCGAAAGAAATCGTCATACAAATACCACAGAATGGAATACTCGCCAAGCCTCTGCTTCCAGGTTTTACCTGGAAAACTACCATGCTCCCGAAGATTGTGAATAATTTTTACTTAAAACCTCGCTGTCACTGTTCCCAGCGCAAGAATTACTCTTAGGATTCTATTATAGCAAAATCCTTGCCAAAAGTTTACAAGGATGTTTGACGTGACTCCATTGCATTTTTGTTCTTATCATCGAAACCTCAACTTGTTAATCATTCGTTAAATAAACTGTTTGCATTCCCCCAATATGTACATACCTCGACAACATTGCCGCATCCTGTGGTCCACCTACGCCTGCTTGTGGCAGCTGCGGTATGGGCGTGATCAACGTCGGACCGTTATGACTACCGCCACTTTTTTTCGTCGGTTCACTACGGCTAAGAATGCTCGATATGGAAAAACTTGTAAAACCATTGCCTGTAGTCGCCTTGCCACTACCCACCGCTGACCCACAATTCGCCTCGCCACGACTCGACGCCATATTCTGACTACTGCCATTACTATCACTATTATGATTGTGATTCAAAAGTTTACTATTATTATTGTTATTGTGATTATTATTGTGACCCGTCAACGAGGTAACCTCATCGCTGCCATTGCGTTCGGGTGAATGTGGCGCCATAGCAGCCATTGCCGGCGGACTAAGACGATCCACAGCCGCTGAAGCCATGGCGATTTGACCAGCCGTCGGTGTGACAGCGGCGTGTTGCAACAACTGTTGATGTGCTGGATAAGCGGGATGTAGATGACCGAAAGTGTGGAGCGCATGATGCAACGCTACCGGATGACCACTTAAGCTGCTGAGATGATGTTGCAGATGATGATGCAACACCGTCGGCGGCACTGCGGCCAATGCTGTCGTGGTCGGACTGTGGAAATGTGCGCTTGATGTGGGTGTGCCAGCAGCTGTGGTTGGTGTTGATGTGGAAGTTGGTGTACTGCCGTTGGAGCGTGCTGGCGAAGCGGAACGCAGTGGCGTGTCGCGTCCATTGCCACCACAGCCCGACGGACTAGGTTCGGGGCTGGACACCACACTGATGTCAACTTCAGCGTCGGAGGAAGACATTTGGGTGCAGGGTAATTGTATGTTAATAGCTTTGGAGAAAAGTTTACAAATGTTTGGCAACACTGTTTTTTTTTTTTTTTTTTTTTGAATTACTTATTTATTGTCTCTGACTTCGAAAGATGTTTAACTTTTATCTAGTTCACGCTTTGCACAAACACTTAAGAGTTATTAAACGTAAACTTATGGAGTTTCATTTCGTTTGTTTAAGTTTTCGTTAACCGGAAAGCCTTTCGCACTTTTATTGTTGCTACAAAAAATATTTTTTTCTTGAAAATTTTTTTCATAGTTTCAAAAAGTAATCACCGCGCACACTGAGCACAGTTGGCCAAGAAGTTACCATCCAAGGAGCTCAACACAGTTTTCTATAGACGCGCGTTTGCTTTCACCCGCAACGATTATTCCGTAGGACGTCTACACCGTTTCATCTATGCTTCGCATTTAAATTGAAAATTTGAATTCAAAACTTCATCGTCCTCGACGCAGCTCATTCGAAAAGTGTTCTGTTTCAATGTACGCATTCGGACCGCCGCCCGCCTGTCTGCAAATGCGATTGTCTCTATGATTGTATTTCTTTCTGTCTGTCCGTCTGTTTGTCGGTTTGGTTGAGTTTGGTTTAGTTTGTTTGTTCTTAGGCGATCGTTTAGTTTTATTGTTTTCCACGACTTAACCCCCGGTCGTCCTTGCACATGATAAAGTCGCTCTGCGAAACTGACTGTGTATGTACTTGGTCGCCACACTGCACGACTAAAACTAAGGTGGTTGGTTGGAATTCTTTTGGTCTTTGCGCTAAAATGGTTCTCAACAGTTTTTAAACAAATACACACACACGCACACACGTACACACGTATACGGTGAAACACTCATAGTGTTATGAGAGTTCTAAAATTGTTCTACCCAACAGAACCCTTGTCGTGCGGCAATACGTTAGGAGGGTTGTTCGGAAATTGCAAATTGCGAAGAGGGCTGTGTGCTAAAAAGAAAAACAGCAAAACAATAAACACGCCGTCTCCTCCTTCCACACAAAGCAGCCTCCTCTCCGTCACATACAATTCATGCAAGCTGTGCGAAAGAGTGCGGTTTATCTAGCTCAACCACTCATGAGCTGCCTTACAAGGGGTTGGTTGGTTGGTTGGTTGGTTCGCTGGCTGTTCGGTGCGCTGTGTTTTAATTCCAACCTTCAAATCCATATTGCCACATGGAGTGACTTACTCCACGCCACTCGCGCCTTTCCTGTTTCCTTTCACACAGCCATTATCTCTTTTTTCTCCTACTTACTGCAGCAATTGCTCTGCAACCGCATCGACACTTTTTAGCATTTAATAGTTCTTACTGAAAATATCAAATTGTCTGTTTTCCTTACACTTTTCTACTAACTAAGATATCATTTCCTTGCCTGCCGACCAACCCACCTCCGCCTGCATTTCTATACCGCAACCCCTGCTCTCGTCATTGATTCTCTATTGAAGGAGGTACGCAGTTCCTGACTCGTTTCCATTTGGTTCCATAATTCCGTGTTGCTTGCTTGTTGAAACATCCTAATTTGCAGTACAATTGTTCGCATAGAAACTATTGACTTCGAGGCACTAGCCTCCGCAGTCAGCGAGCGAATCCATCAATTCCACATACAAAGGTCAAGTGTGACACTATTAAATTAAACACAAAAGATAGTTGCTGCATTCCGGTGATAAGTGATGTTGGCAACAGCAACTACAGACAGGGAGGAGAATATGTGAGGGGGAGCAGGACATGTAATGGAATTAAATGAAATTGTGAATTGGATAGCAAGTGTCGAGGTTGCTGGAGTGGCACTTTTAGGGTGGGGAAACATCATAATATGCGAAGAGCTGTATTCTACAAACGAGAATTTCAGCAACGAGCAACCGATTCATTTTTTTGAGGACCGGAAATATCGTGGAGTTCTTGAAGTTTCCACAAATCCGGTTCTTTATACAGTTATAGTTTCGACTGGGGTTGGGCAGCAAGGTTTAACTCTACGTTCTATTCGCCACACTTAACACTGCTCGACTTCCTCTCCTACAAATTGTTTCTTTCCTATAAAATTTTCCCAACTAAAACCTTTAGGAAGTACGTGATTTTCACGCTTTTCTAAGGATTAAAATACAACAACGTCTCCTGGATGGAGCCTACACGATTACGAAACTAATTTTTAGATCTCATGATTATTCTGAAAATCATTAGAGGCTGTCCTACTTCTTCAGGTCCAAATGAAGCTAGTTAGTTTGATAAGGATATATCGGGAGCTTCAGGTTGGAATATTCAACCAGGAAGTGTGTTTTAGTTTTTGAGTACCGCAGAAGTTTATTGTTTGTTCTAGAATGATTAACGAAGTAAGCGTAAGATATTGATATGAACTGGCAAATTTAAAAGAAATATCCTCACTTCTTTCCCTGTAAAAGGCTGAAGTTTAAAATGATTCAATAGAAATATCAGTTTGCTATCAATTTACGATAAAAGGAATCAATTGAAAACAATTTCAAAAGCACTCATTTCAATTCCAGCTGTTTCCAGAACAATATTTGTTTCAATTTCACTTTGACAGACAAAAGTTCTTTTTGAGTTGAGTGGCTATGAGAGAGCAATTATAACAACCCTCTAAACTCGACTACCCCAAATTGCCAGTGAAATCGACTCTAGCACTCACCCTACTATTTCTCTCTCTCTCTCTCTCTTTCGCTCTGAGCGTCGGAAATTCAAATTAGCTCGCATACCTCACGCCAGGACATCTGCAAATCGTCGAAACAATCAACAAACAAACGTATAGGCAAAGTACAAGCATGTGCAATAGCAAAAAGAAAATAAAAATTCAGGACTCATCGTTGTGAGAGCTATTTGTGTCAATACCTATTCAAGTGAGCGTGCAATGGGCGTGCCCATCACGAAAATTGCAGCAGCTCACAAGGCTGTCCAATCAACGCCGAAGTTCGATATGATGCGGTGCAAAGAGTTGAGTCCGCAGGGGAAAGCGGCGGTAGAGCGCTAAAAAGTAGGATGAGGTTGTAGACGTAAACATTTTCTAAGTTAAAATGCTAAAGCGACGGCAAACTGGCGCTCATACCAGCGCCATTTTGAGCACTTCGCTCTTCACTCTCAAAATTTTCCACTTTTCGTTTTGCGAACGCCTCCATCGGGATGTGGGCGCCTTGTAGGATGTGGGTTGCAGCAGCACCAGCACAAGCAAATGGGCGTTTGGCTAAATGTGATAACAGAGCCCAGCTGCTATACAAAGCCAGTGCTTTTGTAGTGGCATCACAACAACAACAGTTACAGCAGCAGCCTTGTTGTTTGGGTTTAGTGGCGGTTCAAGTGGAGGCGATCGGAGGAAAAATGCGTAGAAATTCATGCGCAATTACATTTATCCTGTTTAGGATATTGCTTTGGTAAGTGCGTTTCAGAATGCAAACATTCGATGACAGTGTGTTGTTGTGTATGAGTGTTTGCCTGTGTGTGTGTGTGTGTACGTGCGTGCGGGAGATTTTTCTTTCGAGTATGAGTTGAGGTGCAGAAAACCACAGCATTTGAAAAGTAAGTGGGTGTTGGGAATTTTTAATGTGTGTGTACGTATCTTTGTGTGTGTGTGTGTGTGTGTGTGCAAGATAAGTGAAGCTACAACGACAATAGGAATAACAGCAGCACCCCTTAAACGATATAATGAATTTTTCTTTTTATCAAATTTGTGTAAAAGCATTTCCACTGTGTACATACTCGTATTTACATACACACATATTAGTAAATATGTAATATATGCGTAATTATGTATAAGTTCATTTTTATCTATATACAGTACATGCCATACATATATAATTGGTATATAACAATTTTATTTTTCTATATATGTACAAACATATACCTAAAATGTATGTATCTAAGCATACATATATACTTTCCTTACATTGAACCTCCACTTGCCCGCATTAACTCACATACCTTATCACACTCTACACAGTTAAATTCTTCTTTTGTAAGGTGTCGCTCAAGTTTACTTACGCAAATTGTTGTTGGCCCACTTTATTTTTAACTGAAAGTACAAATGGAATTTCTGTAACGAAATGAGACAGTGTATGGATGTAGATAAAGAAAAAATTTCAAAAATGTTTTCAATCTTCAGGACTTCAGTATAAAGGGTATAAAGGGTGCTTCAGTAGATGTGGATGAAAATAACATTTTAACTTTTGAAAGAACAAATTTAAGGGTCGAGGGAATTCAGAATTAAAAAAAATTAACTTTTGGTTCTTTACCCTTTCGTAAAGTTTAGTAAATATATTTCAGGATTAAGGAAAGAAAAAACATAATATCAATCGAAAATCGCTTTATTATTTTTCAAAATATTCTCCCTTAATATCTTCACATTTTCGTATGCGAAAAATCTCCAAAACATGCGCTCTGAGTCCTTAAACCGTCCTTTAGGCGTCGAAAATCGTTGACCTCTCAGTTTATTTTTATTTACGGGAATAAAAAAAATATTCGGCGCCACAGGACTATAAGATGACTCATCAAACGTTGTCTTGAGATGTTAGAGAACTCGAATTTTTGTGATGAAGAGCGATCCATTTTCAGCGGTTGGTTTTCCTGATTACTTATAATGCAATAATCAAATGGTTGTATTCCATACAGAATTTGCTGTTCTGCATTTTTCTATTGGTACGAACGACATTTTCAGCTTTTCCAAAAGAATGGGTAAATATTTTCGTAGAAGCGCCTCGTGTACGGACAACTGTAGTTGGATTCGACGCATCTTCAAACACTCATACAGTCGACTACTGTTTTTCAGCTGTCACGATATCCTAGACGTCTTTCGAAACACCTCTATCGTAATTTTTAACCAATCGTCGTGAGACTTTTCTTGGGTGATTAAAAAATTGTGTGGGATCCAACGTGAATAATTTTTTTTTTCACACTAATGTTGTTATAGTTGCCTTATTCTCCCTACAGGTCATACGAGTATGACGTCCTTGTATTATCGGCTTGCGCACAGTATGTATCGTTTTCGGAACAACAACTGATTTTGTACGACTTTAGGGAATGTTCAACTTGGGGTAATCTACATATTTGTAGCCGC